ACCTGTCTCTGCAGCAAGAGGAATTTGGGAAAAATACGGAAACATTACTAAAATATGCTTCCTTGTAGGGCAAGGGACAGGAAATTTCAAACAAGAGCAACATTTCACTCGAAGCATACAAAGGTATTTGGATACTTTTGGATATTTAACCACTTGGCTATAGTTTTTAAGCCATGTACTGAGCAGTGATTTAAAACTAACTTGTGTCAAGGTGATTTCTAGTTTCTCAAACTCACACAGAATAACCACAGGTACTAGAGAAAAAAAGGTTCAATAGAAGCACTAGGGTTCTGGAAACAATATTAAAGAACACTTTAAGCCAAAAAGGTTCTAAACCAGGATAAATGTCTTACATAGGTTTTAAAATTTTTAATAAAACTGTTAAAAAATTTCCAGTGATCAAGTATGTTTACGAATTCCATATCAGATACTTACGGTAAGGAATCAGATAACTTTTCTAAAATTAAACTGTGTTCACATTTAAACCATTCAAGCACAAGAAGACGCGAAAGAGAACTCAATTTTAGGCACTTACACGCACTTTTCTGTGCTGGAACACTGAATTAAGTTCTCTTTCGCAGCTTCTTGCATTTGAACGCTTCTTGCGCTTGAATTTAATTCTTTATTTATTATTTTAAATAACCTTTTTTTGTATAATTTTATTAATATACTTTTAAGAAATTCAATCATTTAAATGATAGTGAATTTAAAAAAAATTAAATAGCCACACAATTGAAAGTAACACTAAAATTGGACACCCAAAACACCATGTATCCAAAATTTTGATCCATCATCTCTACATAAAATGATCCCATGACTGGACCCCCTAAAAGGTTCTACATATGAAGCGCCTGACAGAACTCTTTATGGTTTTATATAGAACCTTTCCTTCTAAGAGTGTGTGGTTCATCACATTAACTATAAACAAGTTCTACTAACTTTGATAACCAGAAAGAAAATGCATCTTCATTTTGATCAGTACGTAAGGTTTCATCACTCTCGAAACTTCTCTTTCCAAAATGTTTTATTCAAAAAGTGTGTTTGATATTTTGTTATAGAAAGCAAATAAAGTACACCCAAAAAATGTAAATGTTGTCATGTACTCATCCTCAAGTTGTTCCAAATCTGTCCGGTGTCAACCAAACCGTTGACGGTAGCCATTGACTTTGACTTAGTTATTTTTTTCCCTGGAAGTCAATGGCTACCGTCGAATGTTGGATTGATAACCCATATTCTTCAAAATATCTTCTTTTGTGTTCAACAGAAGAAATAAACTCATACATGGATGGAACAACTTGAGGGTGTGTAAATGATCACCTTTTATGTTTAGGTGAACTCTCCTTTTAAGTGTCCAAATAGACTACTTATTGGGACCACTGTAACTATGGGTCCTCAAGTAGGACATAATAAAAAAAAAACCTATACTGACTAGACTAAATATCTCCCCTTTCAATCATTTAAAGATACAAGATAAAATTACAAACACAAACTTTTGTTTGTTTGCAAATTTATTAAGTAGTTGTCATCGACTACTTCACATCACTGAATATCATTAAACTACCTAACTATTGGAGAAGAAATGAATAATCACAGTCCTACTGTTATTTATACTGACACTAAACCCAGCGATAGATAGATAGATAGATAGATAGATAGATAGATAGATAGATAGATAGATAGATAGAAAGATAGATAGATAGATAGATAGATAGATAGATAGATAGATAGATAGATAGATAGATAGATAGATAGAAACTGTGACTGGTAAGCTTCCTACATAAACGGCACATTTCAGCATCACAGGCACGTGCATCATGTGCATCGTTTAGCTGACTCAGAATGCACTTATGATGCTGTCTACGTAGGCAGCTCACTAGGTTTTTCGACGATTTACTACTTTACTCAAGCAAAAGGCCTATTACCATGTACTCTGATATCGCAATGTATTATTACAAACTCCCAATCACGCCAATATGATATCGTACACAACTAATTTCACTCACAAGAGTCTCATACCCTTGACAGTCAGGAGGAGAATATCCCCAATGCGCCCTATTGACATCACAAGCGCGTTAAAAGACAACTGCCCTTGCCAGAACTCATAGCCTCTCGTTTGCATCTCATCTCGGGTTATTTTAAATGCAGGGTGATTTGCATTTGCACTTGCGGTTAAAGAACTACGGATCGGCCGTGAGAGAGTAAACACAACTTACGATGCATTTCCTGCCCAGGTAGTTGAACAGACATTCGTTCTCCTGCGGGGTCAGAAGTAGAGAGCCCACATTTGCCACCCTCCTCTGGGGCGGGTGGCCGCTCATGTTGAAGGATGAGGCGGATGAACTCGAACGTTTGTCTCGTATTAGATAATTTTATGTGCAATCACAGATCAACATGGCCTGCGCTCGGTTCATCCCGTAAGGAATTCCGCTTCCAAGTAGACCCGATGCGGTGTTGCCCTCAATGCACGGGCGGTGCAGATGCGACTCGTTTAATCCTGCGGGTTAATTATTCTTTAATTCTTCCACTTTTGACAGACTGCAGAATATAAACTTTCATCCCGAACTCAGTCCCAAAGCAAAACGGTCCTTCAATCCAACATGGCAGCAGGACGGTAGAGTTCAAGGCGCACTTCGGGAAAGGACTGAACTAAATTTGGTCGCGCTACGAATAAGCTTCATTTGTAGAAACACACAATTTAGATATTATTTAGTTATACAAATAAATACATTTAAATGACTAAAAAGTCAGTTTAGTGTCTTAATATGAGTGAGTATTAATAATAACAGTGATAGGTTGATTCGAAACCCCTCTGTTTAGCAGAATGGTCTGTCCTTGTTTTCCCGTGCCTCCTGCAGAATGCGGACGGGATGAGGCGGAGTGTTTGATTCTTTGTTTATCGGAGTCGACTCCGATTCCCAACTCTCATCGTAGGAGTGTAAAAGCTGGGGACGGAGATATAATTAACGTAATTGACTGTTATTTAATTGTAAATGAGCTATATGTATTGTAAAACTCTGCGACAGTGTGACAGTCTCTTGCGATTTCAGACACACTAACAGAGTCGACAATGAGAGTCGATTCCTATACTGGAGTCGACTCCTACACTAGGGTTATTAAGCGTTGAGGAATCGATTCTTTTGGAGTCGGCCCGACTTCCATCACAAGGCGGAGTTTCTGAGGCAGAGGGTGGAGCACAACGCCGTCATTGATAGAAGGATAATATAGTATTTAACGGATTTGGTGCTGTGATTTAATGATAGGGTAACTATATTGATGTTTTATAAACCAGATGATCCCTATTCTGGCCTCTGAAAGGCTACAACAGCGTAAAAAATCCATTTGCTAGCCGAGGTATTACGATTCCCAAAATCACTAACGTTACACAGAGACTTGCGATTTTAGTGGAAGGATTCCACGTAATTTTGCAATATAAATGGCTTTTTAATGAAAATTTGTGTTTTCAATATTGAACTTGAAGAAATTTTATTGATGCATTTGCAGAAAGTTCAAAGCAATTGTATTAAAATTAACATAAAATGAGTAGGAAAAAAGATGACAAAATCTAAAGTAAAAATGTAAATTTCCTACATATAAAAAAAGATTATGTACAAATATATCATATAACACTGACTAAACTTTATAGAAGCCTATTTTTGTGATCTATTCTGTCTATTTTGTGAAGGAGAAAAAAATCTATTATTTAACAACTAATTTATAGGATGTATCATTAATTGGTAACTTTTAATCTTTTCATCGTGTATTCTTGAATATAAATAAAACCCAGCACAAAATCCTGGAAGTCGAGCCAACGTGATATGTTTTATAAGGTGAAAGTCTGGCTTTCCCCAGTCCAGACTATAAACTATATTTGGACATTTTTTGTCACTAATCAAAACCATTCTATTTGGAGGATAACACACTGCTGAGTGTGGCTGCTGCATGTTTAGGCAGTCTTTTCTTAGACAATGATAACCTCAGTTGTCCATGGAGATTCAGCACATTCTGCACTGTTATTACAGAGTAAAAACTTCACGTCGACATAGACTAGTAAATTGGGTGTAATTACTAAGAAGGCAAAATAAAGAACTATCACTTTAAACCATGTGACCAAAAACTTCTGGAGCCAGAAACTAAATCCCCACACTTGTTGCATCACACAACAAAATTATAATTGCTTTTCACAGCTATAGCCTACTTTTATTCATAATAATGCGTGTTTAATAGTCATCCAGTCTTATGTAACAGCCATCAGGGACGGTTCACATTGTTCTTCCCTACCGATAAACAAATGGAGAAAGGAGAGGAAAAAAGGAGACAGATGGAGGATCTTGTTTGTAACCGGAGCCCTGCCAGGGGCCACCTGGCCTGCTGTTAAATTCATCTATCTATCTGGATGTCAATAAAGTATATATATATATTATTTTATGTATTTATAGTTTTGTATTCTGTGTTCTGGAAGCTGTCACCAAGACAAAATTGATTGGCAATAAAAACTCGTTCTGATTCTTATCTCCACTAGATGGCGATATTAACCAACAGCTGCTCCATTAAATTATTAAATGTTTTGCATACAGTTCTGTTCACGAGTTTGCAAGTGACATTTATTTTGCGTTTTCTTGTTTTATCTCAATCTTCCATTCACATTGAATTTGTTGTAAAAAATGAAGGGGAAAATGTAACGAAATGACGTCACAATTGCAACGGTTTATGTCGGTTTCATCTGTGTCTAGATAAGAATGGAATGATTTACGGTTTTACATATTTTATTATTTATTTATTTTGACTATGGGACAAGCATAAACCAATAATACAAAAAAATGTCCGTGGTTGCAGAAACACCCAAAAGTTTCTTAAAGCTTCTGATATTACCACGGTTACCATATTATTCATGACGAACATGATCAACATCAAATACGAACAGCAGTTTTTCATAGGACGTGCAACAGTAAAACATGACGTTGGTTTTTCGATGATCTGGCAACCCGAGGAGTCAGCTGACCGGCTGGAGATGACAGTTAAGGCACACCCCTTCGCTGCTCCCCTGGAACAAAGAGTCATTTCTCGTTATCTGTGGGGTTTTAACACTGTTAATCTGTCTATGGGTTTTAATCGGTGACCATGAGCAGTTCACAATCTTACACACGCTTCGGGGACGACAACTACAAAAACTGGTTGAAAACAACGGAGAGTCTTTCCATACTGAGGAACTGCATTAAGGACTTCGTTGAAAAGGAAACCGAAACTTATCACAACTCTCTTCGAAACAAACCGGAGCTAAATGGACAGACCTGTAAGAATACGTGCGCTTTTAAGAAGGAACCGGTAAGTTAAACTGTAAATGAAATGCAAAGTCAACGTAAACGATCGAAATAGCCTTTTTATCGCTTTAGGCAAATACAATCACCCAATGTAATAGGCTGTTGCTGTAAATGTAGATCTGCCTGTGTATGTATGTCAATCTATTTATCCATCTATGATATCTATCACCATATTAAATTAAAATGTGGATTACCACAAATAGAAATATATCCCACTACAAAAAGTCAATCTGTCTGTCACACGTCCATCGTTCCTTCAACATTTTAAATAAAAATGTGGATTGTAGGATTAACACAGAGGAATACTGTAACAATCCATCCTTCCACCCAGCCATCCATAAAGCCTATACAATGTCAGTTAGAATAAAATATTTTGTGAATGTCTGTACCCGTCTCTCACACTGTGCTTTGCTGCTACCCATAGCCTCTCTGCGAATTGTGTAAATGCTGGAAGAAAGAAATTGAGGCCAAATATATTGGGGGGAAAAACAATATGCACTGGGAAAACTGCCGGCCACATCTCTGGTCCACAGAAAAGTGGGAAGTTGCCAAGGCAAGTTACTTTCATCATTAATAACCATTGTATTATTATATTGCAACTGAGTGCATTGACTTGATGCATATGTCAGTGAACAAAAATCAATGTCCATTAAATTTTTTATCTTTGTTGATTGCATGTTTCGTATGGCAGGCGTATATGCCTCGTGGGCACACCAAACATAACCAGTTTTCACAGTTTGATGTCTCTGCCATCCTGAACTTAATGAGTTCCTGTAAACATTTCAACAACATCCCAGGGCACTGTGTGAGAAATGTAAGTATTGGGAAATACAAATCTTCTGTTTTTCCCTTCAAATGATAATTTTCAGCATTATGTCACAACGAATCTCCATATTTATCCGTTTTAAACTTCTCAAATGTTATGTGCTATAGTATCAGTTCGGATATTCAAATAATGTAGATCTCACTGTGTGCTGGATAACACATTTTACACTTATTTATTTTCAAAAATGAAGGTCATAAATGTACGAAACAGTGCGATGCACTCCCCTGACTTGAAAATGAGTAAAGAGGAGATGATCAGGCATCATGAAACAGTCCTGCAGCTGGCCAAGAAGCTCGAACATCTTATCCCACGTCTGAAAGGCTTGGAAAAGGAGATGAAACAGGTGGATATAAAATTATGAATCATGTTTTAATAAATTATTATTAAAATAGCATTACCTTTATTAATATTTAATAATAATAATTATAGCGATAAGGATAAATGTTATTATAATTGTATTATTAATCCACGAAAAAAAAAAATTCTATTTTTTTTCTATGTAGTTTAATAACATCTTGGACAGGAATTTCAACGAAGCCCCATGTGAAGTAGACGGCCAACAGGTCGATAAACAGACCATGGAAATTCTGGATCGCGAGCAGCAAGCATTGAAAGACAGGATTGAAGACTTTATCTCTCGTTTTGAGGGGAACCTAGACGGAAATGTTGAAGTAGGTAAAATAGTAAAAGTGTGAACTGCATCATGTTCATGTTCTAAAAACATGACTTTATGTTAAGGAAAAACCACAGGACATGAAGAGTCTGCTGGATTTCCTGGACCAAAACAAAGATCTCCTGGTGAACCTGGGCCCTGAAGTCGACAAACTTAAAGATATGCAGGCAAAAGTAGATCAACATGAGAAGGAAATCCACAACCTGGCAAATAGAGTGGAGAACCTGGAGAAGGGGACACATGGTGAGAGGAAAATAAGACCATTCGTGTTAATCTTTGATTTAGTAGTTTAGCAAAATAAATATGCAATTATTTTAATGCACAAAGCAATTGAATAAACCAAATCACACACGTTTTAACGCATCTTAAATAATTTTGTTCAGGACTATATTTCAGTTCGTCTCATTCTTTCGTGCTTCTCCATCCACAGATCCTGTTCTTCCTGTCATCCCACCTAAATTCAAGAATCATCTTTATGAATACTGTCAGGCAAAGAAATGGCCAGGGGACAAATATCCCGTTTTTTCAGAGTTACGGGAAGCACAGGGTAACAAATTCATCAGTCCATGTAACATTAAATGCATAAAAGTCCTTTGAAACATGTAAAACACACAGTATATATGTTTAGATAAGTGTTAATGAACAAATGGAAAATTCATTTAGGTTAGATTCAGCAGTAATCCTACAGTTCGTCTGTCTACAATGTTTGATCTCTACAAAGCAATCGGAATCGTACTTATAATTTTTTGGACTATTAACATTCACTCGGTGCTGGCGCTAGAATCAAGCTCACTCTCAAACAAAAACAAAAAGATTTCAAGCAGAAGGATTGGGCCACTCTCAAATGACTTAATAGACAGACAAAAAACGACATCCGCAAAGCTAAAATAAATTATAAAGATAAAATTATAAAATGTTCCTCATATGTGATTTCTGTGCTATGGAAAAAGGATGTGTGGAAATGATTATTCATTTGGGACAATAAATCTATCTATCTATCTATCTATACTGTACAGGTTATAGGGCTGAAGTGAAGGTAAATGGGCAAACTTTCATTGGCACAAAGGTCTATACAGACAAAAAGGCCGCCCATCAGGAGGTGGCATACATTGCACTTGAGCAGCTGAAATTACAGGATGAAAGCACAGACGAATCATCAAGCTCAGTCACACAGCCTGAGGCCTCCTGCTCAACTTCCTCAGGTAAAACAGATATTGTACCGTAGTATTGACAAATGGTGCACAGTCCTGCATTGAGATGAAACTATGATCACTATGTAATTTTGTCTTTTGACATTTCAGGAATCAATTTCTTTGGTAAAGTGACTGTGGATCTTGATCAAGAAGTTGCGTCTGATAGATGCTCTTCAAAGGAAGAAGCAACTGAAGCCGCTTATAAGGATTTATGGGAAAGATTTCACATCAGTGCTCCAGCTGAAGGTAAAGAACAAAGCTTAAGCTACAATGAAAAAAACAAAAAAGAATGTGAGTTTGTAATTTTCATTGTAAATTTCAACTTTCATCGTGAAGTATCCCTTTAATTTAACACTAATGTAAAGTACTTTATAAGCATAAGCTTTTCATTAAATACTGAATAGTGAACCAAACGCAACATTTTCTGAAATTAAATCCATTTAATGTTTGTGCTATATCCAAAGTTAATGGGCAAGATTGCCTCTAAAATATCTCTGAAAAAGAGTGTATTGGTATTTCCCAACAAAAGAACTCAAATAACATATATTGACCAAATAACATATTACTTCTATTTGCAGTTTTACGTTTCTGGACAAAAAGATTTTAACCTATATTGGACAATATTTTAACATGACCCGACCTGTTTTTGGACACATATTCTCTGAAATACTTTGGCATTTTAGGGTTTGAATTATTTTCTGAATAGCACAATTAAGCTGCTTTTTATTCTCTTTGCAACAGGTCGGACATACAGGTCATTGATCATGGAATATTTCCACACACAGTGTTTCCAAAACCCGACAGAAAACTTTGTTCAAAATGATGATGACACAACTATTTGCAAACTCAAACTCATCGGCCGTTTTACTTTTTATGACAAAGGTAATTGCACTTCTACTGTTAGTCATTGGTTAAATATTTTATCTCACTAAAGGTTTACGTTGATTTACAAGCTATTGTTTGTTTATACATGTCTTACATTTCTTAGATGGCTCCACCAAGAAAAAACAGGCTGAGCAACAGGCAGCTAAAGTTGCTCTGCAACATCTGTCAGGGATCCTCAACGGTGCTCCAATATCAGACACTGAGAAGAACTTCAAAGTTGAACTGAAGGAGCGTCTTGATAAGCTGGGTCTCAAAAGTCCCGTTTATGACACAGAGAAAAAAACAGAAATCAGTGATGAGCATGTGACCAGCGGTATCAGCTCGGGCCTGGCTACTTCTGCAGTATCTATCAGTCAGGCAACAGAGAAAGATCATTCAGAGCTGAAGTCTAAAAGTATCTCCACAACAGCACAACTCCCAGAGCCAGTCCCTGTTCCTGTGCTGCTGGACCCTCAAGAATCCAGTTCTCCAGCCACACAGAAGAAAAAGCCCAAGATTGATTGTCCAGGTAACGAAGCAGCTTATAAGAAATAAGTTATTAGTGCTAAAGAGTGGTGCAGGGATGTTGTCAAAATCCAGAAGACTAATTCGCCAGAGGTTCCCTTTAGATTTTCCTATGGGTTTGTATAAAGTACGATTCATGTTCTCTCGTAATTTTTAATCAAAATAAATTCCCCTCCACTTTGCAGTGGGTTCTTTTCCAACCCAATCTGATGGGAAAACATGAAATCAATTTTTCGAGGTGACAATTTTATATGAAATTGTATGCTTTGAACTGTGCGCAGAAACGTAAGCATGAAGGTCCTCCCCTAACCCCACCCTTAAAGTCTGAAATTCTTGCACGTTAAAAAATAAATATGACCTCACATTGTGTCAATCATGTTTACACACTGCCTCCACAACTTTCGGTCATAAAAAAAAAAGGGTTTGTTTTCCGTGGTTTTCGTTTGTTTGTGAAGCCGTTTCACTGGGTTATACCACGTCACAATTGACCTATGGCTAAGCCACGCCTCCTCCACTCACTAGGAAAAACAGTTAACATTCGGGGTCAACAATCTGTACCCCATGTGCACTGTTTGACCATTTAAAAGTTAAAATGACAAGAAAAAACAAATTAAAACTAAATAACTGCAACGCATTTCAATGGACGTGGAAGCAGAGAATGTCCGAGTGTATTGGGTTAGCTGCGCACTGTGATTGGCTCGTCGCGTTTGAGGGCGTGGCTTAGCCATAGGTCAGTTGAGAAGAAAAGACCATCACAACTTCCATTTCATGCCGACTTTAAAAATAAAAAGGATACAGGAAAACAGCAGAGAAAATATTAAACATGATGAATAAATAACATTAAATAAAAAGATAAGTGATTAATTTTTTTTTTGACATTTCAGGAATCACTTTCTTTAGTAAAGTGACTGTGGATCTTGATCAAGAAGTTAAGTCTGATAGATGCTCTTCAAAGGAAGAAGCAACTGAAGCTGCTTATAAGTTTTTATGGGAAAAATTTTGCATCAGTGCTCCAGCAGAAGGTAAAGTAAAAAATCTAGATTTAATATCAAATGTATCAATATTGATAAAAAAGCCAAACATTAATTCATTTGCTTCAAATTTGTTTCACCCTTCCTTGAGGCTTAACTTAAAATAAAATATGTTGTGAGTTTGCTAATGTTGTTTTTTGGTGTTATTGTGGGCCAAATATGTTAAGATAATGATTTTCAAAAGGGCATAACTGATTTAGTTTGTGTTACAACAGGTCAGACGTATAGGTCCGTGATCATGGATCATTTCGACACCAATGATTTACAAAAGCCAACAGAAGAGTTTGTTGATGATGACAACTACGCTATCTGCATACTCAAATTCAAAGGACCTTTCACTTTTTATGACAAAGGTGATTTCTACTTTTTTTGTTTGTTCGAACACTATTCGGGTGAATTTCTAGGTCATATTTCACCCCCAAAACAAAGACATATTTTTTTCATATTAAGTTAATACCATTTTAAAGTGCCCCTATTATGCTTTATCAGACATTACCTTTCATGCCGTGTGCAATGTACAGCTGTTTGTGAATGTAAAATGACTGCAGTTTCAAAGATCAAACTGCACTGTAGGCGTGCACCTTTCGTTGAACTGGCTGGGGAGGATGCTCTAAACAGAAGTTCCACATAACCAAAAAGTGTCAAGTGGTGGAGGGATCATACACAACTGATTTACTGCAAAAAAATTTGGTAGGGATGGGTTCCTGTAGAGACTTTAAGTCATTTTCCTGTTTTTCCTGTAAAATATTTCCTCCTCTGTTGTTAGAACATAAACATGGGATTCTTCTTCTCTTTCAATCACAAATCTGCAGCGTTCACAAGGAATTTCACCCAGTGGAGTCGATGCTGGAGCACAATTTTCCATGCACCAATAGAACATCATTGACAGAAGTAGATCTGTCATGATGGGAGTAGCTGAAGTTAGGAATGCAACATGAAGAAACTGGAGGAAGTGTTATGTTGTGGCATGTGTCCTTGTTGTATAATCCACTGGTATGATGATCGAATAAGGTGCACATGTCACATTTGGAGACAGGGTGAGCCACCCATGGGATTCCTGCTCCTACTGAAGGTGCGTGTGGCATGCACACGTTCTTTCCCGCAAACAAGGCATTTCTTGACATATTCATCAGTTCTAGGAACACTTTGTGTGATGTCCAGGATGGTTAGTAGAATGAAAATCCAGATCATGTTTAATGGATGACTGAAGGTTCCGTAAATCTTTCTCTGCGTTGTGTTTTTTTTCTTCTTCTTTACTTTGGCGATAGTTGGCTCGGCAGTGGGTCTCGTTGTTTTCTGGAAGTATTGTCTTCCTACGCACAGTCTGCTATTGTTGTTCTGCTGTGGTTATTCCTTCTTTCCCTGTTTCTTATTTTTAGACACCTAAAAAAACACAGCGAGGTGAGGATTGACTAAATGTATGGGGAAGGCCTATGAGGGAATCTTCGCCCAAGGGGTGGCCCCCGAAGCATATGGCATCTCGGTTCTTCCCTTGGGTTCCTCACTGGTTCGTGTCCTATCCTATCCCTTTGGGTGGCGGAACAACCTTACAGTGTGACACGAGTCCAGCTTTTTCTTCCTCGACACAATACTGCAGCTGCTGTAATCAACATTACTTGATGTGATCCTTGCCACTTAGGTTCTACTGGCTTGTTTCTGAATGACTTTATCATGACCTGGAATAATTGCGTGCCCACCTTCTAGTGGAGTCAGCCAACATGACTCAACTCTCTCTTTGGGCACTCTGTACTGCCTTTGTGAGGTTTTCACAGTAAGCGATCAGGGCATCTGAGGCAATGTGTACATCAGCATTTCAAAGATCAATCACACCTGGCATCTGCATTGGGCGTCCAGTAATAATCTCATGAGGGCTCAGTCCGACTGATCTGTTAGGTGACGCTCTCATACTACACAGTACTGCTGGCAGCGCTTCAACCCATGGTACTCCTTCCTGATGCATTTTGCTTAGCCTGGTTTTGATTGTTTTGTTTGCACGTTCAACCTGTCCTGATGCTTGTGGCCTATAGGGGCAGTGAAGGTTCCAGTTAATCTGCAACATTTTAGCCACTTTCTTGACTACCTGTCCTATGAAATGTGTACATGGATCTGAATCAATGCAATCTGGCAATCCCCATCTGGTAATAAGCAGTATGTGCAGCTGTAGCATGCCCTGTTGGATAAGCTTCTACCCATCTTGAGAATTTGTCTATTACTACCAAAACATCAATTTTTCCCTTACAACGAGGCAATGATATGTAATCAACTTGCAGGTGACGGAATGGCCCTGGTGGGGCTGGGCTATGTGCTGCTGGTGTAATGGCTGCTGGAATATCATTATTTTTCTGACATGCAACACACCTCTTGGCTGTTTCTGTGGCTACATTTCTGAATTTTTGATTCCACCATTGATTTGAGAATCTGTGGTTCATTGTTGCTGGACCACTGTGCTCCAAACTGTGTATTTGTTGAGCCAAATATGGCAACAGTGCTTCAGGAGCAACATACTTTCCCCCTTTGGTCCAGCAACCAGATGAATCCACTGTGTCTAACCATGTCCATGCTTCACTGCATGTGGGCATTTTACATTTACAGTCTGACCTAACACCATTACTGATGAAGCTTGAAGAGCTAGATGAACTGCCTGCACTGCTCTTCTTGAACATAACAATGAGTTCACTGTACTAAAATAGCCCCCACAGTCACCAGATCTCAACCCAATAGAGCATCTTTGGGATGTGGTGGAACGGGAGCTTCGTGCCCTGGATGTGCATCCCACAAATCAACTGCAAGATGCTATCCTATCAATATGAGCCAACATTTCTAAAGAATGCTTTCAGCACCTTGTTGAATCAATGCCACGTAGAATTAAGGCAGTTCTGAAGGCGATAGGGGGTCGAACACATTGTTAGTATGCTGTTCCTAATAATCCTTTAGGTGAGAGTGTGTGTGTATTCAGATGAAATATGACCCAGATTAAACTGATGTGTCTATTTGTTTTCTGTTTACTAAAATGTGTGTTTTGATTTACAAGCCATCGTTTGCTTATCTTTATTTCTTACGTCTTGCATTTCTTAGATGGGTCCACCAATAAGAAACAGGCGGAGCACCAGGCAGCTAAAGTTGCTCTGCAGAATCTGTCAGGGATCCTCAACGGTGCTCCAATATCAGACACTGAGAAGAACTTCAAAGGTAAATTGAAGGAGTGTCTAGATAAGCTGGGCCTCAAAAATCCTGTCTATGAAACTAAAGAGTATAAAAAAGACATCAGCGAAGAGCTGGTGACCAGCGGCGTGAGCCCACACCTTTCAAACTGTGAGTTTGTCTTGAAAGAAAACAATTCAAATTCTTCCATCTAATATGACATTGGTTTTTGGAAAGTACGTTTTTTTTTTGTCTGGCTACTTCTGCAGTATCTATCAGTCAGGCCGCAGAGAATGATCTTTCAGAGTCTAAAAGCATCTCCACAACAGCACAACTCCCATCAGGACAAGAGCCAGTCCGTGTTCCTGTTCCTGCACTGCCGGACCCTCAAGAATCCAGTTCTCCACAGAGGAAAAAGCCCAGGATTGATTGTCCAGGTGAAGATAATATGCCATTGAATGGGACAACAGCAGGGAGTGCTAGTGGTACAGAGTAAAAATGTGCACTGATTTGCAACTGCTCTCTCATCTGCTTGTACATCTTTGTGTGTTTTACAGAAATCAATGAGCTTTTTAATGTATATAATCTCAAGCCCCCACATGTGAAGTTGGAGAACATAACATGTAATGAGAATTTTAAATGTAATGTGGAAATCAACCTGGAAAAATTTACTTTTGTTAACAAACAAGACTACGACAGCAAGAAAGAAGCCACTCGAAAAACCTACCTGTTGTTTGGCCGTGCAGTGTCAATTTTCGATTCTAGTTCAGGTACGTTTGTGTATTTGCTTTTGTGTATTGCTCGTGTGTGTGTGTATGTCCCCTAACTAATGCTTACATCTTTCTTACCTCGAACTCAAGATGAAAAGACATCCAGTGCGAAGGTGAAAGAGGTTTTCTCTCAGAATTCTCTTCCTCTTCCACAAGAAGATTTTGAAGGCTCTGGGAAGCCATTTTACTGCTCACTGAAGAACATAAATTACAAAGTTATCTATACAGGACAAGGTTAGTATGAGTACCTTATTTGATGTTAAAAAGACTGTAGATACAAGAGTTAGTACTCAACCGATTCAAAAAGAACTTCATTTTCAGGGTCAATAATAAATAAGTGCTTCCAAGAGAAAGAACGTGAAAAAAAATATTTTGAAAGGTATATTATACTGTCAGGGATGAATTAAGGCACAGGTTTGTATGTTGTAATATTTCACTATATTACTGTTTTTACTATATTGTTGAGCAAATAAATGCAGCCTTGGTGAGCAAAAGAGACTTCTTTTACAGACCCCAAACTTTTGATTGTCTCTCTCGCTCTCTATATATATATATATATATAAACATAGTATACTGACAACAAAAAAGTAAATGCATGTATTAAAGGAGTAGTTCACTTTAAAAAAAAAAACAAAAAAAAACATTTGCTGATAATTTACTCAACCCCATGTCATCCAAGATGTCCATGTCATTCTTTCTTCTGTCGAAAAGAAATTAAGGTTTTTAATCAAAACATTCCAGGACATTTCTCCATATAATGCACTTCACTGGGCACCAAACAGTTCAAGGTCTAAAAGACAGTTTCAGTGCAGCTTTAAAGGGCTTTAAACGACACCAGACGATGAATAAGGGTCTTATCTAACGAAACGATTGCTCATTTTAAAAATAAATATCGCATCGTTTCACTAGATAAGCCCCACATTCATCGTCTGGTGTCATTTAAAGCCCTTTGAACAGTTTGCAAGTCTATTATATGGAGAAAAAACCTGGAATGTTTTGATCAAAAAATCTTAATTTCTTTTCGACTGAAGGAAGACAGGGGGGTGACACGGGGGTGAATTATCAGCAAAAGATTTTTTTTAAAAGTGAACTACTCCTTTAAATTTCTGAACGAATGCCATTTTATTCAAATTTTATGCGGTCTTTTTTTAGGGTCCTCAGAGGGTGAAGCCAAATTAATTGCTTTCCAGAATGCCTTGCGTTCACTAGCACCCCTCTTTGGTTATGATTCACTAACTGGGGCTGAAAGTGCTGAAGCGGTGCAGAATCAGCTGAGCTCTATGCTGAAGGGGGCCGGTCAGAAAGACCCCGTCATTTACCTGAAGCCTATGGAACAGGCCAATATCCAGCTGTCGTTCTGTGACTATATGCTGAAGTGCTCATGCCAGAGCTCCAAGAAAGCAGCTCGGAATCATCTCAGTGCTCGAATACTGGGCCTTCTGGGGGTAAAGACAGGTCAGAGCACATGAATATCAACCAGCTTGTCTAAACACTACATAAGTATTGCTATAAAAATAATTTCATTCAGTTCTTAACCTCTTACAGAAGCAAACGATGTATCTATGAGAAACCGTTTAAATGAGTGGTTCAAACATCAGAATCTGCCAGAGCCAACGTTTGGGGACACAGAAGAAGTGATAGGAGCGAAGGCTACTTTCTCTGTCCCGCTCACCTGCAACAGTTCAGGTCACTGTCTCACAATAAAATACATGTTCAGTAGATATTTAATGTCATTGATAAATAATGATAAAATATTAATTTTATGTATGAATACAGTACCATTCAAAAGTTTGGGGTCGGTGAGTTTTTTTTTAAGTCTTATGCTTGCCAAAGGCTGCATTTATTTGATAAAAAATACAATAAAACCAGTAATATTGTGAAATTAGTATTACAATTGTTACATTACTCTAGTCTTCAGTGTCCTAGCTGCTTGCTAGCTGTCGCATATTATTCATGGGTCTACGACAAAGGGAGTCTCACACCGAAATTTCGTCCAGAACAAAAATTAATTAGTAGTATGAGATACAAAAATAGTAATGCTTTGCTTTAGAAGCATCACAAACTAGACATGTACTTACTATAGGGTTTGGTTCATGTTGCATGATGTAATTTATAGTTTTAACTACTGTAACTACATGGACAGTGTAAAATAAAGTATTACCTAAAAGTGTTTTTTTTAAAACTCTACTGACACCAAACTTATGAATGATGTTGTAGATTTATTCATTATTAAGTAATTAATTTTAAATATATTTATAATATATATTTATAAAGAATAACCATAATAAACTTTTTTTCTGTGAAGTAAATTACAATTGTAGAGTGTGTACTGCTACTTAAATAAGTTCCAAATATTTGTGTATAATATTAAATATTAAAGTGAATTGTTTGACTTTTAGACTGGGAAGACAGCTGGGATACAGCGAAGACGAATCTGCTTCAAGTGCTCAAGCAAAGATTTAGGTTTCTGGATGACAAAAACAATTGAAATCTATTTTAGCAGAAAGAAAAACACACCACAAATGCACTAATTTTGTAAATTGTGAACACATTTTGTTCGGTACAAATTTACATTTACATTTACATTTACAATTATTATTACATTTATTACTTGAATGAATGAATGACCATGGCATTTAATGAAACATTTACAAATATATATACCAATATAAACACTAAATCATTAAATGCAATTGCATTGACTGCAAAAACCAAAGCTGTAGAGATGACAAAGAGATGAGCCACATTTTTAACAATTTTGCAATGTCACAGCCATTATATGGATATCTTCACAGGCTTATAAAAAAAAAAAGTGCATTTATTGTTAATTTATGTTAATATATTAGCCTCTAACTGTGGATTGTGCATTTTTAACCCGTTTACAATGAACTACAGAAACTGCTTACAGTTTAATAATAAGTAAAAAATAATAAAATCGTTTCACAAATCAGTGTTTGATGTCCACATTTACTTTATCTGGAAAGAAGCCAGTCATTATCCTAAAATAAAACCCTTCATTTTGGGAAAATGAGAGCTTATGATTAAGCTGTTATAAAGATGATTTCACAATAAACACAAAACAATCTAATGTTAAAGTTCATTTGGTGTTGGATTATGGCCAGTTTTGGTCGTATCAGCTTGCACGGAAAGTTATGTTCATTACCACAACTATGAAAACTACTGTTCTATGAACTGGCCAGTAGATGTCAATGTATCGCTACAGTTTTAATGTTGATGGAGAGTGAAGGAATGTGTCTAGGGGTTTGCTCCATCAGGCGCTCTGTTCTCAGGATGTTAGTGGTACTCTGGGTCAGTATGTTCTTGACACATAGACCTTGCCAAATTCACAGACCAGCTTTATTTTATACAGCCTATACTGGTGATTTTTGTATCTTTGAAATAAATCAAATTAGGGATACTTTTGTGTTCAGGTAAAAAGTGTTGCCATTTGCCATCAGCTTTGTCTGACATTGCTACTTACAGTACATTATTGTTATTGATTTACATTTATTCATTTAGCAGACACTTTTATCCGAAGCAACTTACGAATGAGAAAAGTGATGCTGCTGTTATTATAGTCATTTTTTTAAAGCAACAAAAAAATAACATGCCAAATTAGAAATGTTTCTTCAGTTATTTTAGTTTAGTATTTTAAGCCTTTAGTTTTTATTAGTATTTTGAATTAGACGCGCTCGAAGTCGTTGACCAATCACAACACATTGGTCCAGCCGACCAATCAGAGGACATTGCAATTTTCACAAGGAGAGGCTTCATAGAGACCAGAACAAAACAGATGCTGAATTCAAAACTACTCATACTACTTTTACCATATCTTTCTATGGCAGAGTAGTATGCGGAGTAGTAATATAAGAGTAGTATACGGTACCGAATTCAGTGTTACAGATGGACTGGGAAGAGAGGTGCTGCAACAATGTAAAAAAAATAAAGTTTTTTTTTTTTTACTTTCAAGCATGAAATCCTTTTGTAGTAGACCTCAAAAACAAAATCAAAGTTTTGAAAAATGGCATAATCCACTTTACATCAGGTAAATGTACTGAAGCTTGTGCCGGGTTGCATAAAACACCTTAAGTTGCCTTAAAGGGATACTCCACTTTTTTTTTGGAAATAGGCTCATTTTACAACTCCCCCAGAGTTACAGTTGAGTTTCACCGTTTTCGAATCCATTCAGCCGATTTTCTGATATTCAGAAGAATATCAGTAACCAGACAGTTTCTGGTCTCATTGACTTCCATAGTAGGAAAAAAATATATACTTTTTCCCTTTTGGCTAAATACAGATTTGTTTGTCATATAAAGCACCCGATTGCATCTCGCTAGAAGACTTGGATTAAATCGAGAAGTTTTCCAAACCTTATGTTATATCAAAAACTTTAGAATAACACTACAATACAACACTTGCATTGTTTTGAATGGGGAAAAGTGCAGCACTCAATATGACGGCTTCTAAATAGTCCCGCCTTCTAAATAAGAGCCAGTTGCCGATTGGTAAAGTCATCGCGTAACTGGAACGGCTGTTAGAAGCTCTGGTTCCTATAGAAACAATTGGTTTCACCAGGTTTTGCGCTTGTGCGAAAGTCAAAGTCAGACAGCTAGGGGCGGGCAGCTAGCAGATCGTTAGGAAAGATTAGATGAATGGCCGTTTTTGGGCCTGAAATCACTGATACAACCTTTAAGGTGCTTTATGCAAATGGCCAGTAATATTTTTCAGATTTTTGCACCTGCCAAGACATGAAGCTGTGAAACAGACCTCCGGGCCATAGCACGCTCAGGGTGGGCCGGACACTTCGGGAGGTTGGCCAAGCTCATGTTTGGAGCCAAACCCCGGTGGATAATGTCTAGGTCTACCATATTCCTTGCACAGCTCACAAATGCATTGTAACACTGATATACTAACCGTCCACCTCCGCCACACTGTATTTGTACTTTGCTGACTGAGACCATCTCTCCTCCCCATTACTGTTACATAAGAATATGCAATTTAACCTAGTCTAACCTAGTCCTTGATCTGTCTGTGCTGCCAAATACTGTTGAGGTATGCAATTTCCATGTTTTGCAAGCAGAGAAGGGGGACTTCCTATGCACTTCAGTTCATTCCCTCCCCGTGGGTAAAATCAGGTAAACACCAACAGGAATGCACCATCAGGCCTTCAGAATTGCCAAAACACATTATTCTTTAAAGAAAAAAGCAACTATTATTGTATTTGAAAGGAAACCGTAGGAATGTGCGAAAACGTGCATAAGAAAGGAAAAACTGGCAAGCCGCCCCGCGTCAGTGCCAGAGATACTCGCCCCCACCCCGTCATGTAGTCTAAACGTTCGTGTCTGAAAAGTTAATCCACCTGACATTACAGAAACTGTCTACTTCAGGGGGTTTACTCTCCATAACAACAATCATATTACATTACGGTAAGAAGGACGACTTTGTTTTCACAACTGTTTCAATACAAGAACGAACGAATATCACGTGTGTTTCTGGGTGCTGTGCTCAGCATATTCTCACACAGGATCCTTCTATAGGCTATTTGATATGGATCAATGACATGACATCAACTTTTTCGATTAATACAAAAATAATTAAACAAATGCAATTCATATGCATGAATTGCATTATACATTTTAAACACTCATCATTGGCTAATAAAACATTGGTATTAGCCAATCTTTTATGAATCGCTAGACTTCTGGCTGCTCTCTATTAGATTAATCAGATCAGAATCAGTTTTTAAACCAAAATTAATATGTATTTGTGTCTTATGGTCATATTGCTTTATGTTCCATTTTCCTTTTGAATTATATTGTTCAGCACAATGGTCAACAATGGTTTTTTTTTGCTTTATAAATAAATTGAGATTGAGAAACACAGATTTATATAAAATATGTTAATATAATAGTACACACATATTTTGTGTAAACACAAATGTTTATGTTAGATGTGATTAATGGATTGACAGCACTACTCATTATACTAATATTAAACTTTTATCTGCCATAAGTCTTGTTGTGCAAACAACATGAAGAAACTTGGGGGGAAATTTTGGGGGGGAATCAATACATTTTTAGAATATCAGATCATTTTATCTTTTTTTCATGACAAGACAAGATTAATTTAAGCTGTAAAATGTGGTGCAAGTCCCTGAAAATTTTACATTTATGAATTAATAAATAATTTTAAAATAGCTTTTTACCTTAAAAACTATATTTAAACAAATAATTATGGTGTCTCCACCTACATGTACTCAAGGTTTAAGGTTAATAATATGTTTACACTTTTTACTTGATGGTTACACTATATTTTTAGAGCTACTTGGTTGAAATGTTTCTACATGAACATTTAACAACTTGACACGTTTCAAAACCCCTCCTCATATTTTATTGACACTGACCTATATTGTCAGGCCTTCAAGTGTCAAAGCAACAAAAGCAAAGGCATCTTATTGTAATAAGGCAACAAATCAGCCGTCCTGGATTGACACGGACTGCTTTGGCATATTGGCCATCACTAATTGCTGTTGATTTCATTTGAGAGCTTGATGAGGAGGAGCCAAATCAATTAACAAAGCAAGAGAGCGTCAATGCTGGTGCCATTCACGGACACAACAAACCACAGCAAATCCAGATAAACTGTGATATATCTGAGCACATATAGCGCCTCAGCTGGATATTCAGTACAAAGACGAGATAATTACACCGGATGATCTGAGCGGTGCTGGAACTGAGGAACTCTTGTCTTTAAAAACAGGCTCGAGAGGTTAGTGCAAAGTATTTATACCAATCAAAAACTACAATCTGTCTGTATCATGTCTTCAATTAAGTTTTCAAAGGGATAGTTCGACCAAAAAGAAAAATTCTGAGATTATTTACTCACCCTCAAGTTGTTCCAAACCTGAATTTCTGTTGATGGGCCCCATTGAATTCCATAGTTTTTCTTTTCTTTTTCCATGCTATGGAAGTTAATGGGACTCAAGTAAAGATTTGGTATTCAACAGTGGTATTAAATGTAAGTGTTTTTAAAGTTTAACTTGAAGTGAGCGTTATAGATGACGGTAAAACTGTGGAAACGAACATAAAATTACATTTAAAAAAAATCTCTAATTTTGATCGATATAGATATGGGTATATGCACATGCTGGATATAAAGCAAGTAATAACTAAGAAATTAATTACTGTAATTACTCTTTGATTACTCTTGATTTCCTGTAATGTAATAGCAGTTACTTCTGATGCAATTGCATAATACTTTATAAACTAAAAAACAATTGGATTTGACATCAAAATTTTACGTCTAATGCTAAAATGTATGTTTTTAATACGATCTCCCTTTAAATACTTCAGTTCAAGAAAAATGTAGGCAATTTTATATAAACTTACTTAAATTAAAAGCCTTTTCGTGTCTCCCCTTGTATTGTTTAACCGGTCGAGGTTGATATGGGATTTAGAAAATAATGCAATACTTTATTTAGAGAGAGTAATTAGTACATACTCTGAAGGTGTAATTAATAACTAGTAAATAATTACTTCTTAGAGTAACTTATCCAACACTGTACATACAATGTACATGTTACGTATATATATATATATATATAAACAAATTGATCACATTTTACAAAATACATTTTTTGTTATGGACTAAATGTAAAAACTGTTACATGGAAACGGAGCAGAAATACATGTTCAAGGCAAGTGAATAGAGCGCTTTCTGGTGGTAAAGTGTGTGTGTAGACAAGAGCAAGTTCCTCCTAATTAGGACTGGACTCTAGAGGCCTTCAATAGCAGCTTCCCTCAGCAACACCAGTGCATTCATTGTTGTAAGGACAACCTGTTTCATGGGAACCATCTGACTGTACAGCGACAGCACATAAACAAACACTCACTGGCATGTACAGTAGTATGTCCGAACCAGAGCTGTGAATATCTGTGGGACACTGCAGGTCATTCAAACATGAGCCATGGGAATATATACACTCACCTAAAGGATTATTAGGAACACCAAACTAAAACTGTGTTTGACCCCCTTTTCGCCTTCAGAACTGGCTTAATTCTACGTGGCATTGATTTAACAAGGTGCTGACAGCATTCTTTAGAAATGTTGTCCCATATTGATAGGATAGCATCTTGCAGTTGATGGAGATTTGTGGGATGCACATCCAGGGCACGAAGCTCCCGTTCCACCACATCCCAAAGATGCTCTATTGGGTTGAGATCTGGTGACTGTGGAGGCCATTTTAGTAAAGTGAATTCATTGTCATGTTCAAGAAACCAATTTGAAATGATTCAAGCTTTGTGACATGGTGCATTATCCTGCTGGAAGTAGCCATCAGAGGATGGGAACATGGTGGCCATAAAGGGATGGTCATGGTCAGAAACAATGCTCAGGTAGGCCATGGCATTTAAACAATGCCCAATTGGCACTAAGGGACCTAAAGTGTGCCAAGAAAACATCCCCCACATCATTACACCACCACCACCAGCCTGCACAGTGGTAACAAGGCATCAAATTTACACCAAATTCTGACTCTACCATCTGAATGTCTCAACAGAAATCGAGACTCATCAGACCAAGCAACATTTTTCCAGTCTTCAACTGTCCAATTTTGGTGAGCTCTTGCAAATTGTAGCCTCTTTTTCCTATTTGTAGTGGAGATGAGTGGTACCCGGTGGGGTCCTCTGCTATTGTAGCCCATCCTCCTCAAGGTTGTGCATGTTGTGGCTTCACAAATGCTTTGCTGCATACCTCGGTTGTAACAAGTGGTTATTTCAGTCAAAGTTGCTCTTCTATCAGCTTGAATCAGTCGGCCCATTCTCCTCTGACTTCTTGCATCAACAAGGCATTTTTCCCACAGGACTGCCGCATATTGGATGTTTTTCCCTTTTCACACCATTCTTAGTAAACCCTAGAAATGGTTGTGCGTGAAAATCCCAGTAACTGAGCAGATTGTGAAATACTCAGAGCGGCCCGTCTGGCACCAACAACCATGCCACGCCCAAAATTGCTTAAATCACCTTTCTTTCCCATTCCGACATTCAGTTTGGAGTTCAGGATATTGTCTTGACCAGGTGAATGGTTGATTAGATGATTGCATTAATGAGAAATTGAACAGGTGTGCCTAATAATCCTTTAGATGAGTGTATTTACAACACAAAGACACAAATTACAGAAAAAGTCTTGAAAAATACCTTGTGGAGAAAATGTACCTAGTTTTTCCTCTGTATTTTGCTTTTTTTTTATTATTATTAAATCCAGGCTAGGGATGTTCTTTATAAAATGTGACCTATTGCTAACTATACTTCTCTTTACTTGCCAGTTTTTTACCATTTTCTTTTTGGTGCTTGTGGGTGTTAATGTTGGTCCCGACCTTCAAGCCCTTTTCCTTAAGGTATACGGGACCAACAGCAGTTATAAACACATTTTTTCCACATACGGACTCCAGTAGGCAAAAGACTCATACTGACTCATTTCTTTTTCCTTGCTGAGGCAAAGCGAGGCAGCCGTACGTTCTTACCCCCATGTAACGTATCCCACATCAGCCATGCACCATATGCAAAATGTATTTATTAGCACATTACCACATATGCACTTCTGTTTAAACAGACTGTAAATATCAAAATCATAGGCCAATGTGAAATGTTTTGTAGAGCACTATGGCTTCTCATCATTGAATTTCATATAAAAAGCTTGTTTTAAGAGGAATGCCAGGGTTTGTTACTGTCAAGACTATTTGGTCGCAAACTTTATGAACATGACAATCTTTTCCCAATTATCAGATGCAACATGATGTTTCTGTGCTTAAAGGCTTTGCACAAGCCTGGTTTTACATTTATTTTGTGCTCGGTCTCCGTTTTTCCAGATTACTTTTCAAATTTGGGAACACAAGTTTCGGAGGTATGCAACACGAGCCCTTTTGATTACAGCTGACCACTGTATTTTTTCCAGCTGCATGCTATGGTTACAATTTAAAGTTATTGTTCTGGTTTGATCAGAGTATAAGAGAGAAGAGTTTTTGAAAGCCATGTTCATGTTGAAGAGGGTTACTTTGAAAACCTGTGTCCACCTCAGAGTAAAAAAGAAAAATAGGCTGTTGCGAGAAGAAAAAAAATACACTTTGTGCCACATATAAAGTCACACGAGATATAAAGTCACAATTACGAATTCTCCTCTGACCTCTAGCATCAACAAGGCATTTTCACCCACAGGACTGCCACATACTGGATGTTTTTCCCTTTTCACACCATTCTTTGTAAACCCTAGAAATGGTTGTGCGTTAAAATCCCAGTAACTGAGCAGATTGTGAAATACTCCACCAACAACTATGCCACGCTCTAAATTGCTCAAATTTCTTTCCCATTCATACATTCAGTTTGGAGTTCAGGAGATTGTCTTGACCAGGACCACACCCCTAAATGCATTGAAGCAACTGCCATGTGATTGGTTGATTAGATAATTGCATTAATGACCAATTGAACAGGTGTTCCTAATAATCCTTTAGGTGAGTGTAATCATTACGAGATAGCCTCGTAGTCAAATTTTGAGATTATGAGTATAAAATTGCAATTTAGTTAAGTCAAATTTTGATAAATAGCCACATTTATAAAAATTCAGTTAGGAGGTATGAGATTGCAATTGTGAGAAATAAAGTCAGAGTTTTTAAAAAAAGTCTTCTATAGGTTTTAGAATATGGATAGCATAACGGATAAAAAAACTTGTATAAAGGATAAATCTTGAATATTATTGTTTTACATTTTTCAGAACCCTATAAACTTTATTTCCAGATTTAAGTGAATAAAAAAAAAAATCAGTGCAAAACATGATGTGTAGCTCCTTAGTCATCTGGATTCAATCAGTCCATTTTGTAAAGGGAGAAATAAAAAAGCAGTTGGTTCTCATGTCCCTCGAGCACTGTCTGTCTGAGGAAAAAGCCAGTGCCAGTATGTCTCAGACGGGTTTTTTGGGGGGTCTTTTTTGTGGTTGGGCACTGTAGATGGTTGTGGTTTATGAAAAGACTTGGTGACTTCACCACATTGTTGCTCTTGGGTTAGATCGACAAGTTTCACTGCCATCTCAATGGAAGAGGAAATGCAGATCTTCCCCATGTCCCGTAAGCTACATCATCCCTTTTATTTTATCTGACAGACTCCCACAAACCCACGAGAAGGAGGTGCCATCCATTAAAAATATCTGAGGAGAAAAGCCCTTCAGATGATGAATTGACATAATTGTTTTCTTTGTCCTAACTTTCTCTATGAACAAAACGTGTGAGCCTTAATTCAAGAAAATTATTTAAAAAATAAACAGGCAGAGTGGTGCACGTTCAGGGCTGATTTCATTTACGAGGCCCCCTTTGGATACACAATCACACTTGTAGCCATGAGAGGAATTTGACCGAGATTAGCAAGGTATTTTAATGTAATACACATGTCATTTTCAAATCGAGAGAGGAGGAAAAGCAAGATAAAAATGAAGCATTCCAAAAATCCAGTAAATTTTGCTACAAACACTTTACGACATGTAACTTACCATGCTATCCAACCCAAACCAGTAAAATAGATTACAAATATTCAAGAGTCTATTTAAGAGTCAATAGAAGCCCTGTACTTCTATAATCAACAGTTATTTTGTGGTTGGGTAAAACTACTCTGTTAACATTTGTACATGAAAATTGCTAAGTGATACAACTATTAAAAGTACAATTTACAAAAACATTTAATTGTAATCATCAATAATTATAATACAAAGTATATTATTTACTGTAAAGTCCCCTTGCAGTCAATAATTGTATACCTTAAAAACTTTATAATCAAAATGACATATTTAAAAGTTTTTTTTCCATAGAAAATAATTTCTTTCTTCCACTTTATATCTACTAGTATATGTGTCTATGTGAAGAAAGACAACTTTTTTCATTTGAAATGACTGTCTAGTCTAAAAGTATCCCAGTATATCATAATTTTGCATGGAAAAAATATGAATGAGATGTAAAAGACTGTAAAGGAACATGTTAAGTTACACCTGCCAAAAGGGATTAATACCAGAAACATAATGTGGGAGATGAACTGAAAAGTTTAAGAGGGAACGCAAAGTTTCTTGGGTGAGCGCAAAAAGTTTTGTGACGGAACGCAAAGTTTTTCTAGGGAATAGAAAAGTATGAAACATATTTTTTCTCCCAATTCATATTTTTCCCATCACCATGTCCCTTTAGGCAACGTTTGGCAAACTTTAAGCCAGGTAAAATGACTAAAACTGAAAAAAGAAAGAAAGCTAAATAAAAAGTAAAAGATATATATATATATAACAAATGACACAGCAATATAAAAAAAAACACATTTAAAAATAAAAGCCAATTCTAATGATATTAATGAATACTATGATACTATACAGCATAAATAATACTTAAATAAACACTGCTGCTAGATTACAGTTACATAATCAAGTCCTGTATGCATGAATTACTTGAGTTAATTGGATGCAGAACAGAGAATCATTGTGCAGAGGAATCTAGAGCACCACTGCTCACTGACCCTCGCTTGTCTGTCACTCAACAATGTCTTTGATTATCCTTGCCAAATTACCCTTATGATGTAATCATTTTTTTCCACATATATGTGATTTTTCATATCTCATTTCTCTTCAGGTTGTGGCATGTGTGTTGATTGATCAATGAGGGTATTTGGGGATGGCGCTGATTGGCTTTGTGGCGGTGGCAGTGTGTGGGTCGCTGGTTGCTTGGGCCGATCAGTTGAAGCAGGCCCGAATGCCTTTGTTACACCATCGTCCGTTTGTGGTGGTGTGGAACGCACCCACCGAATCCTGTCGTCTTCGATTCAAGGTTGAACACGTGTCAATGATCAAGCAAATGTTCTGTGTGGTCCAAGTAATGGGAAAAACATCTTGTCTGTTTTCTTTTTCAAGGTGGATTTGGACCTTAGTGTCTTCGACATCGTTGCAAACCACAACGAGACTTTGAGCGGGCCCAACGTAACTATCTTTTACCACAGTCACCTGGGTTACTACCCTTACTACACCAGCTCTGAGATTCCCATCAATGGAGGCCTTCCTCAGAACCAAAGCCTGAGCAAACACCTCAGCAAAGCTCGAGCTGACATCGACAAGCTCATTCCCTTCAAGGACTTTCACGGGCTTGGTGTCATCGACTGGGAAAACTGGCGTCCGCAGTGGGTGCGCAATTGGGGCTCGAAGGACATCTACCGAAACAAATCCAAGGAACTTATAAGGAAACTGCATCCAGGTTGGCCACAAAGTAAGGTGGAGAATGAAGCAAAGGAACTCTTTGAGAGGGCCGGACAAGTATTCATGAACTCAACGCTCTTGCTGGCCGAGAGTCGACGGCCGCATGGTCTTTGGGGGTATTACCTCTTCCCTGACTGTTACAACTATGGTTATAAGCAGCATCCGTTGCGTTACACAGGAGAGTGTCCTAATATAGAGCATGTGCGCAATGACCACCTGATGTGGCTGTGGAAGGAGAGTACGGCCCTCTATCCTTCAATCTATCTCGACTATGAGCTCAAGTCTTCGGCCAACACGGTCAAATTTGTGCACTACCGTGTCAAGGAGGCCATGCGGATCGCCTCGATTGCCAGGAATGACTATACGCTGCCTGTTTTCGTCTACTCCAGACCTTTCTACGCCTACACATTTGTTGTCCTATCAGAGGTGAGTGGAATATTAGGTTAAGTCCAAATCATGGCATAGCAATTAGAAAATGTGCTCTGATATGCTGAAATGTGATGCTCATGCTGGAAAAACTAATTCAAGGCCATTTCTATGCCTATAACTATATATATATATATATATATGGACATTTTAGCGACGCTATTACACGTCGTCTGAAAGAGTAAATATGCTTTGTGGTTGTTTTATAGCAGAGGGTCTGTTCTTTCTTTTGATATACAATGTATATTCCAATATTCATACAACAACATATTCAGGGGGCCATGAAACTTGAGTGAAAATTATTTAAAAAAAAATGCTGGCGCTGACTGGGAACTTTTTTTAGCAAAAATGCTGGCAGGGAAAGAGTCAAAAATAAAGTTTGCAATATCTACACCACTACTGTCAACAAACAGAATAGCAAAATAATGATGATTTTCAAACAGGATTCTTTAAACACTCCCCTTATTTGTCACTGGTCGGTTAAACAGATAGCCCCGCCTCCCCCACACGCCATTGGTTAAACCAGTGTTGCTATGCTGGTCAGGATTCTCAAACAAACAGCAATGTTTTGAAAACGGAGCCACAATGTTTATAGCCTAGTTTTTAGGTAAATCAACTTACAAATGACTAAAGGCCGATTCAAACCAAGGACGAGAACTATAACGATGTATCAAACTAGAATACTGAACACACCACAAACACATCGGTAACATCACAGAGCAATGATATCATTCTGAAATTATTTTCCGAACAATTTTCTTTCCAGCTGATGAATGATAAAAACTTTGCTGCCAGCCAATCAGAATCCATCCAACTCAAGCTTGAGCATTTAAACTGGCAGGTGACTGCAGACAATACCAATATTAAACATACAGTAGCATTATTGTCTATTGGTGTAAATATATTAATATAATGGTGGTGGTTGAGGAGATTCCCCTTTCCATATAAAGCGCTTTGAGTACCTAGAAAACCACTATATAAATGTAACATATTATTATGATAGTTATCATTATACTTCTTGATCTGAACAGGCATTTAAACTAGTCTATTTAGTTTATATATATTTAAAATATTTTTTATAATATTACAGCACTGAATTGTGTTCAGTACGCACTGAATAATTTACGCACTTTCCAGACGTCTGAAGGATCCTGTCAAACACACATTGTTTTAATCACTCGTCATCAAATACTTGAGTGACAGACCCACTCCCTAAATCACCCTCCTCCCTGGCATCTTAAACGCCAGAGATATGCTTAAACACTCATCCGTCACCTCATTATGAGAGGAATGTTCCAAATCAAACTCTGCAGTAGGTCTGCAGGCGTGTTTTCAGTTTGATGGGACCACCCGCCTTTCTAGACAGTGAGGTACACGTACATCAAGGTAATGTACTTATTATGACTAGTTTAGGTTACAAGCGATAGCTTCCATATGTTCATTGTGATAGGCTCCAGACCATACATTATATGTACAGGTCTACTGTATTGTTTTACTTACCACCAGGAAAAAATTAAATGTGCGATTACACACCTCTCCTCGGTAAGCCACATTATTTAACAGTATCATTCATGTCTGAGTTACAAATCCTATATGAGCAATGGTAATAGGGATGATTTTGTTATTCAATAGTAACAAATTTCTTCTCCAGCTCTGTTACTAAAAAACTTTGATATGATCATCTGTTGCTTTTCTGCTTTGAATTGCATTAACATAAAAATCTTGAACAGAGTGACCTGGTCCACACCATAGGAGAGAGTGCAGCACTGGGGGCCGCTGGGGTGGTCCTGTGGGGGTCATCTGAATATGCAAGATCTCAGGTACGCATTATATCGTTCTAAAGTTTAAATTCATTTTGTTATAAGCAACAAAATGAATCCAACAATAAATATCTTGACTGAAACAGCTAATATTAGAATTCATAACCAACAGCATTTAGAACCACATGGGGATCAGCTTGAGCTGATGGCATTAACATATTTAATATGGTTGAAGCTTAGGGAACAATCTGTCCCCAGTTTAGCTCTTAAAAGGGACACCTCAAAGATGATTTCTGTCTAAACCTAAAATAAAGCAATATTAGCATCATCATAGCTTCTCTGTATCTGATTTATACAGTATAACATTTTGCGGGTGCGTCATTACATTGAAGCTAGTGGAAAGAGTTAAACCGTTAATGGGTTTTTCCGTTGTATGGCATAATGGTAATTTTGTTTATTTGTCTTAAAGCTTAAACATTTTAACTGACTTGGAGGAAATTTTTGACAAGCTGTATCATGTACAGTGATCAGAAATGGAAACACTTTGTCATATACACACACATACCGTTAAAAAGTTTTAGATCAGTAAGCTTTTTTAAATGTTTTAAAAGAAGATTCTACTGTTTAGTACCAAGGCTCATATTTTTACAATTTCAAAGAATTGTTTTCTATTAAAATATATTTTAAAATATAATTTATTCCTGTGATGCAAAGCTGAATTTTAAGCATCATTACTCCAGATTTCAGTGTCACATGATCCTTCAGAAATCATTCTAATGTGATGATTTGCTGCTCAAGGAACATTTCTTATTATTATCAATTTTGTAAACAGTTGTGTACTATTTTTTTTTCAGGATTCTTTAATGAATGGATTGGAAAGTTCAAAACAACAGCATTTATGCTAGAGAAAGCTTTTAAATTATATATATATATATATATATATATATATTTATAATAACTGTATAGACACTTAAAAAATTGTAACTAATACAAATTTAAAAACAATTACTACTTTCATTTTTTTAATTATTAAACTGAAAATGAAAAATATAAAAACTAATTTAATATATTTTTCATGAAAACAAGTTTCTCATCTAATATTTCAGCTTTATTTTAATTCATGAAAATGATTTTTAATAGTTTTACTTCAAAATAACATCATTGATTTTGACCAATATTACTTCTAATATCTTTAATATGTGTTTGTCTTGGCCAGAGAAACTGCATGACAGTCAAGAAATACATTGACGGTCATTTGGGTCACTATGTGATCAACGTGACCTCAGCCACTAAACTGTGCAGCAAAGCCTTGTGCAAGAAGAACGGCAAATGTGTCCGCAAGAGCCTGGACTCTGGGGCTTACCTGCACCTCAACCCTCGCTTCTTCAACATCCGCCTCAACCGAGGCATTCGTGGGCCGCGTTTCCACGTCAGCGGCCACCTCAACAACCACGATATCCTGGAAATGAAGCAAAAGTTCACCTGTCAGTGTTACCAGGGCTGGACGGGCATCTACTGTGAGATGCCCCAGAAAGCACAGACTCTCCCACCCCACCCGAGAGACAGTATCCTGGGAGAACTACAGCTGCTCCTGTCCCTTCATTTCTCCTGCCTGTCTGTCATCATGTTCTTGGGTCTGTGTCTCATTATTAAGTGTCTGATACTGTAAAGCAGTGTAGATGGTACTTTAGACAGTTTCCTACTAAAGAAATTTAGAGTAGGTGAAGCTGAAGATAGTTTTTCACCACAATAACAGACAGACAGGCATGCAATTCATTCAAGAACATCACGCAAATTTACTGCAACAATGGCGCCATGAACTTCACATACTATTGAAAATCCAGCGTTTAATTGATCCAGATAAGCACTCATTGTCACGGTTGTAAACACGACGGCTTTCATCTTCCATGAGGCGGACCGTTAAAGAACGTGACACTCATGTCTCCAGGAAATCCTGGAGAATACAACCAATCAGACGGCGGCTTGAAGTGTTTCCCGTTTTGTGTGCCATATTCATCAAACGTTCAGCGAACAGTTTATGGGCTTGAGAGCTGAGGCTAAAACTACACAAAAACTGGTACTTAAAATAAAGGATCGATCTGACCAGACATTCACGAATGAAGGACTTTTATAAATCAAATCTTTTTAGTGATTCGAAAACACAAAATAGCGAGAGTAGTTTGATGGAACAAGTCACTCTTTTGAACTGGTTCTTCTTGAATCAAAACCATGTGCTGCGCCCCAATTCACATAGGCCTACTATCCACCCTTAATTGTTTTTGAAATTAGAACTAGTGTATCCCAAATCATAGTATATGTTGAAATGAGGATTCCCACCCGGATGGTCCATGTGGACTCTAATGTCCATGACACACTCTAATGGCTAATAATGGCGAATCCACTGCGAGACACCAATGTGTTCCTGAGCAAGACACTTAACCCCTAGTTGCTCCAGAGGCGTGCGACCTCTGACATATACAGTATAGCAATTGTAAGTCGCTCTGGATAAAAGCGTCAGATAAATGAATAAATGTAAATATAAACCACCTTGAGAATTTTCACTGGAGTAAAAATAGTGTGATAAGTAGCCCCAGTCCCCTCTACAAGTGTATAGTACAGGCACAGAAGTGAAAAGTTTTACTCTATATTTTAAACATACATCCATCATAACTTAAGTAATGAATACTCATCTTGTCATCTGAGTGTTCATAGTCTCATATCTAATTCAGTGTTCAGTATAAGCACAAACGCATCATAATTCATTCAAAAGAACACCAAATGCTCTTTCCCCACCCAAACCGAGGAGAATATTCTCAACTATTTACCCAGAAATTAGACATAACAGCATGGTGTAATAAGACAAAGTTGGTTGACCAACATGTCTCAGTGTAGACTGAGGCTCCGTAGATTGTGATTCAGCTTGGCAGCCAAAAACTGTCAATAAATTACCAAGCCTGGGAAAATCGCAAGTCCTGCTTATTTTAAGCTAAATTACATCTTTTGTAACAAGCAACCATCATCTGTTAAGGGATTTGAGGTTCGGTTGTTGGAGATAAAAAACCTTTTGTCCATTTTTTGGGCAAGACATTACATAAAAACTGATTTTTGCAAACAATATGTGGTGCATTGTTGATTTGGTCAAGGGTAAAATGAGTCACAAAAATGGGAAGAGAATTTTGTGCTTTTTTTGTGCTTTGCACACAAGCTAAACATTCAGTAAAGATGCGTCTTACATAAAACACATGGTTGGATGTTCATATTTATATGCATTCATGTTATTTGTTGAACCTGGATCACTGTGCATGTAAGAAGAAGGAATGTGAGGAAAGGTTTTCAGCTACCAAAGTCATGCATAACAGAGACACACCTCACAGCTGTTGGTCCGAGCCCAGGATACACTCGCAAACACAGACCTGGAACCTGATCTAGAGATGGAGGAATTCCTGAAGTTTTGGGAGGGACAGACAAATCCAACACAAGCACCTCCAGACCCCTTGCCGGGAAGTTAAGAGGAAAAAAGTCCAGTATATATTGGAGAGTGGGGTCATTCAGTGCCTTTCCATATTTTTTTGCTCTTTGTGGACCACATCAAAGCAGTACAGTATGTGTGTTTAGGTGGGTGGGTGGGTATGTGTGTCCTTTGCAATAAAGAGCAGTACCGCATGAAGTACAGAAGTACATTTCTAAATACAACATCAACAAGAATTAATGTGGTAAAACTAATGGACCAATGAATCATATGATCGTACCTTAGATTCTACAATTTCCCTCAGTGATTTATGTGCGCTGAACTATTCATTAAGAAGTTTTCCTTGATTTCAAGGCTTATTGTCAAAGGGATAGTTCACCCAAAAATCACCCTCAAGTTGTTCCAAACCTGTACAAGTTTTTTTTCTTCTGTTGAACACAAGGATATTTTAAAGAATTTTAGTAACCAGACAGTTGATAGCAGCTATAGACTTACGTACATAGTATACTTTTTTCCTACTATGGAAGTCAATGGTTACCGTAAACTGTCAGGTTACCAACATTTTTTTGTGTTTAATATAAGAAAGAAACAGGATTGGAACAACTTGTAGGTAAGACAATGATGACTAAACTTTCATTTTTGGGTGAACTATAAGCTCAGCATTCCTTAAGCATACAAATGCTGAAACATTTCTAGGCTTTTAGAAATCAATCACGCATTTTTGTCTTGTCTTTTGTTTGTTTTTAAAGTTTTTTTTTTAAATATTTTGTTTGTTTTTAAAGTTTTTTAAAATGAAACTGCAATGTAACATAAAAGTAACAAACACTAAAATATTAATACAAACAAAAACTACCATATTTTTGGACACTGACACATACTGCCATGTTTTTCATGCCCTTTTCTTTTTGGACATTTGGGATTAAAAAAAAAAAACAAGTGGGTTGGATTGATACCAGGTTATGGGACGCTAATATCCAGAAAGCATGTTTTAGATATGCTATGATACTATCTTGGTATTTTTTTTAAATATCTTGCAGTGCACTACTATATAAATAGTACCATGGTTGAAATGTGTATGCACATAAACAACAGATTGTTTAATTCCTCACAGTGTCTCCGTGTCAGGAGTGAGTCTAAAGTACAGTTATTATCAGGAGCTCTTTAGCTCAGGACTGAAGAGAAAGGAAGGTCTCATTGGTGATGTCGTCTTTCCCTTCCATAATTTCTCCACAAACTACCAGTTCACATTACCCCACTCCATCACCACTAATAACAGGTTATGGGTTGCTAAAATGTGCCACATATCCATTTATCTTACCCACTGACAGGTATTACATTAAATATTGGTTGCCACTGCCACTGTATATGTCTTAGTTTAGAGTAAAAATGGGTCAATGTTAATTTAATGACTTTAAATGTATTTTTTTGTAATATTTTGAAATAGATAGATAGATAGATAGATAGATAGATAGATAGATAGATAGATAGATAGACAGACAGACAGAGATAGATAGACAGAGAGACAGACAGACAGATAGAGATAGACAGACAGAGATAGATAGATAGACATAGATAGATAGACAAGACAGACAGACAAAGATAGATAGAGACAGACAGACAGACAGATAAATACATAGATAGTCATATATATAGATTAGTGCATACTAAAATGCATAATCACCAATAAAATGTTAATATAAGACTATATGAAGTCAATTCAACATAATTACATTTCAGATGATTGCATTTAATTATAGCCTATTACAAAATATTTATTAGATTTTTATACAAAATATATTTTAAAAACCATAGAAATTACCTCATATTTTAATCAAACTGTAATGAAACGTCCGATCAACTGCCGAATACAGAACAAACAGTCCGGCACAGGCCTGATATGTGCAGTGTTGATGTTTTCAGCGTGTCATCCACGAGTCTAACCAATGCCACAGAAAAATCTTTTAAAATGTGCAGCATCTGTTAAAATACTACTTTTGCTACAAGTCAAAGGTTCATTTGTTATGACCTATGGTTAAAAATACGAGCTCAGTCATTGTCTGGACAAGTTCCTCAGAATGGAGTGTGAATGGCTTTGACATTGTTCTTCTAGAGCTAAGGCATTAAAATGCTCTATTAATGGGCCACAGTGGAGATGTAGAATTACCTGCTATGCCAAACGTTCCTCTCCTCACGAATCACATTCTCTTGTGCACCGACCAACATATTCTATCAAACATCTTGTATCACCTCATTCACTTGCCACGACACCCGTTACTGCTTCTACTGCTGGTAAATCTCTGACTGACCCACTGCTTGTTTTTCTATGGGACTTAAAGCTGAAGTGTGTCATTTTTTATGTCAAAATAATACATCACAGCTTAATATGCAGTCAACAATAATTAAGCCCTTACTCTGGCATTCAAACTTTACTCCATTTGTTTATGCAGCCCAACATATGAACGCTGGCTCAACCAATAGTGTGAGTTTGGGGCGGGGCTATCTGTTTGTTCAACCAATGGCAGATGAGGAGTGTTCGGGAAACCTGTTTGAAAACAGTTTTTTGAAATTTTGTTTGGTCGCACTAGTGGTGAAGAAATTACATGCAATTCTGAAAAATGTAATCAAAATCACTCAAGCTGACATGCGGAAAGTTGTTTAAAGAGCCAAATGTTGCTGAGGCTGTACTTTCAGATGACTCATGTGTAAATTGTAAAACCAAAATGAAAAGTCACAGCAATAAACATATTTTTGTATTCTGTTTTTAAAGATTCGTTTTAAATGAGCATTACAGTACACTATATGAGTGTAAATGGCGACAAAGTTAATCTAATTGTAAATGAGCATGCACAATTAAATATCTAGTATAGACGCATACTTATTTGCACTATTTTAACTATTATTTTTCTTAGGTATGGTTTTACATGATAGTGGAAGTCTGGTAAAAACCTGATCCTGTTAAAATTCAGCTTTATTAAATTCATCTCTGTCGTAAAGTTACCCTTAAAATTGTCTTATGTAAAGGCCCCATTAGCAGCACATGCAAAGCACAAATATTTCATATCTAAGGTTCTATAATTTGTACAAATTTTCCAGTAATCCTCAAGTGCATTTGAAGGACAACCCCGTAAATGATTCATAACGAGACCTGGTTTACATTAATGCAGTTTTTGAAGTACAAGAAGCAAATATTTCCATACAATTATGCTATAATTTCTTGTGCCAAAATCTACTCAAGTGAGGAACATTGAGAACATTGGAAGAATCTGTATTTTCATTGCGGAGGTTCAGATCACATGCCAGCCTCCTGCTTGCCCTTAAAACGGGCAGTTCAAACAACACTTCATACTCAGCAAGACATGCCCCATCTGAACAAGCAAACCAAACACTAGATTCACGATACAACAAACTTTAAAGTTCTGCTAAATCAACAGTAGTGTCGCATTTCCTAAGCTGAGGGTTAATAAAACAGACCTCCCAGTTTGTATGATGAAATGTGGTTTTGTGCTAAAGGAAATGTAGTGTTCAATGTCCACAAAAATCACACTCCAATCATCATATAAATCCAATCATAACATAAATATATGACAACCTGGAGGTTATTGGTGCAAAACTAAAGCTTTTTACGCTTTATTTTCTGGGCTTTTTGCCTTTACTGGACAGTTTGGAACTGGAGTGGGATTAAAACATGAAGCAGTTCAGAATCAGATTCGAACCCACAATCTCTTGACCACTATGTCACATCTCCAACTAAAACCATTGCCTATTTTTTTTCACATAAGCCCATACACACTTCCACTGCTAGCATTAGCGAAACTCTTGAAGAGCGTGGGGTGTGTCACACACACTCACACAGTCATTGCTAATTGTTGCTATAGTTGACCAGGAGACAGGAAGTCTGTAATTTACCAACTGTCTGAATAAACCTCTTCGAAAGGCTTGGGGGAAAAAAAACAAACTCATCTTCATTACACAGTCCATTTGTAAGCATGTTTCACAGCCCA